ACATGCTGATTTGTTGGGCAAGATAAGATAAGGATAGCAGCCTTGAAGAAGGGATTGAGCTCGTCCTTTGCAATGAAGGACCTCGACCCTGGAAAGTAGATACTCAGAATCAAGATTATCCGAGTTAGACAAAAGAAGTTACTGTGGCTGAGTCAAGAAAAATAAAGAGTAAATACCCTTTTTGGTCCTCAGCAAATTTCACGATACCCGCTTTAGTCCCTAGCAAATAAAAAGGACCTTCGTGGTCCCTAAGAAATTCAAAATGGACCCATTTTAGTCCTTTTAGGGACTAATATGGGTCTTTTTTGAATTTGTGAGGGACCACGATTTCAACTAAATATGTCCATTTTGAATTTCTTAGGGACCACGATGGACCTTTTTATTTGCTAGGGACTAAAACGGGTATCGTGAAATTTGCTGAGGACTAAAAAGGGTATTTACTCAAAAATAAATTGAGAAGATTCTGAAGTGATTCAGCATGGACAAAGCCAAAACAGTGAGCACCCCTTTAATCGGACATATTAAGCTAAACCAGAAGTAATGCCTGAGATCTGATGAAGACAAAGATGAGATGTTTAAAATCCTGTACCACTCCATTGTCGGAAGCTTGATATATGCAATGGTTTGTACGAGACCCGACTTGGCATATGCTATTGGAATGGTAAGTCGATATCTGTCAAACCCTAGCAAAGAAAATTGGGAAGTAGTGAAGTATATTTTCATGTATCTTAGAAAAACAATAAACTTGTGCCTCAATTTGGAGAAGGCAAACCCGAGTTGCAAGGCTACTCATATGCTGATTTAGGGTGAGATTTTGACTCGAGGAAGTCTACGACGGGATATATGGTAACATTTGTAGGATGAGCTATCTCCTGGAAATGAAAACTATAGAAGTGTGTGGCACTTTCGATGACTAAGGCTGACTATATAGCTGCGACTGAGGAAAACAAAGAAATGCTATGGATGAAGAAGTTTCTCTCTGAACTCGGCCATGATCAAAACAAGTACAAGCCGGGATGTGACAACAAAGCACAATTTATCTTGTGAAGAATTCGACCTATCGCTCCCGCACTAAGCACATTGATGTGAGGTATTATTGGAACCGGGATGTAGTGGAAGATGGAGAGCTCAAACTCGTCAAAGTGCACACCAACCTTAATTGGTCCGACATTGTAACACCTCGTGTATACCCGGTTTGTTAACATATCATCGTATTAAGCTGCGCTTAATTAAAAATGCGGAATATCCTTTTTCTTTTCAATTATGATGTCATTATACTTAGCCAAGTTGATTACTTAATCAATTTCATAAAATATCGCATGTATGTAAATTGCAAAAAACATCTAACTGGAATACCTCATAATATAGATAAAGTGAGTATCTATGTCACGGATCTACTACACATAGTCCGGACAATATCCTGATATATTAATACAACTCCAAATTAAACAAGATAATAAACAAGTCTACGTGGCATGGACAATCTCCATGCTCACCAAATCAACAGCATAACCAACGAAGTCTCAACATATAAATCCATAAACTGAAGCTAAAAGCATAAGACAATAAATAGGATCCAACATCCAATCATAATAGCATGTCAGCATAAACATGTAACATCTATCAGCTAAGCTCTGGCCTCCTGCCACTAGAGGTCTCAACCCCCGCATTACCTAAACCTGAAATAAGCATTCCCCAAACGTGGGGTGAGATCTCTAAACCAAAAATCTCAGTAAGACAAGGGGTCCTCAAGGATCTTCCACCCCAAGTTCACTTACATGTGCAATATAAGTTCAAAAGCAGTAATTTAATATAATTTCCAAAACTATGTAGTGCAACAGATATTCATGCCATGTGTGTTTAAACTATTCTACTGGCCAAAGAAATGCAGGAATACGTCTATTACCTACAGATAGTACAAGGAACACCGCTTGCACCTCCCCACAGCCTCACCATATTGTATGTACTACATACTCAGGCTTACCGTATAGGTGGAACACCACATGCATATCATAAAGGCACTAGCATATAACAGCTCAAAAGCATTTCCAAAACATCAAAAGCATGTAACACAACATGCATATAACCATACCCCCATGGGACATGGTGGAACCACAACATGGCTAAACCGAGGACACGAAAGCTTACCTTACAAGCTCACTATCCAATGCCAAGAGTCCACTCAGCTCAAGTCCAACACATAGCAGATCATAATCTGATTAGGACCAGCAAGCATATCAACACTCGTAGCTCATAAGCATAAACATAAAGACTACGTTTTCCTCTTACGATTTATGTCTTAAGGCTTCACACAAAGCCATAAGCCCTTAACCACTTGATTCTGACTTAGTTCAGTTAAAACAGAAGTTCAACTTCATCAATCTAGGGTCCACAAACCCCCAATAGCCTACTGTATGAACAATGCAGCTACTGTTCTTCGAAATCCCAGAATATTCGGATATATGTCGGGGGCATATCCAGATATCAATATCCGGATATCCAGATCCCCATATCCGGATATCAATATCCGGATATCATATCCGGATATTTCGCGACAGAATGCAGTTTCTGTATTTCGCGAAGTATCACTTCCAAGGTTCCATTTTTAAGCCATTCCAACGTCGAAGCATGCATCTTTATACATTTTTAGGTTCATGTTAAGGTTAGTTACTTGTTTAACCCATTAACATACCAAGACTTCATCTTTAGAGCACAAAAACACATGATCAAGGTTGAGTCACTTACCCAAAGCTTAAAACTGAACCAAAGGTTGCTCTTGGAGCTCACAACCAGCTCCTCAAGGTTCTGACTTGGATAAAAAACGAAAATACCAAGCAAGGCTTGGCTATTTCTCCCCAAAGGTGGCTTCTTGAAGCCACACAACCAAAGAACAAGGCTCTAAGAGAAGACAGCCCAAGAAACACCCAAGAGTAGCTCACCAACTCAGAAACCAAACGTCTCACCCAACCCAATACAACCACAAGGTGATTTCAAGGAAAAATCAGAAGAAAAGATGATTATTTGGTGGTTTCTCATGAAGAAATGGTGAAGACAAGTCAAGGAAGCACCAAGTCAGCAATGGGAGGCACAAGGGTCACGTAGGAAGGCTGAGTATCTGTCTAGGGTTTAGAGCCCTTAGTATTTATAGGCGGTTTAACACTTAAACACACAATATTAACTTTAATTGCTACGCTTAGCATTTTAATCCCAAACTTTGGATTCTTAACCTACTCAATTTTACAAGAATTATCATATTTTTTATTTTATTTTTCGGAGCACCTTTCTGGTACGCGCTTTTCATAGCCAATATCAGTTTCTGGCACCAGTTCTCATTATTTTAACTTGAAACTTGTTTTACAAGTCCTACATATTATTCTAGTAATTACCATGTACTTTTTATAATTTTCCGGGATACTTTTTCGGTACGTAGTTATACGGACTAGCAGAACCGGTATCTACGCTTTTCGTCCGAAAAACGACTTTCAGCATTATTAACCACTTTCTATAATTATTTAAGCCTCATAATAATTATTAGGGTCGATTATGGAATTATTTCCTAATTCTCATATATAATTAATTAATTTCCTTAATTAACGGTGCGGGTTCTTACAGACATGATGACGAAGTCGGTACCAGCAAGAAAATTTGAAGACTGTTGCGAAGGTGTTGGACCACTGCTGAAGCCGACGTATTGAAGTCATAAGGGGGACATTTGTTGGGCTTCCTCCTTAATGCTAAGCAGAAAGCCCGTCAGGTTTAAGAAACCCTAAACTTCTTCCTTCCCTCTATATATACATTAGTTGTGGGATGTAGGTATGTTAGAATAAGAGAAAGAGAAGAAAGATTTGAGAGGCTAGGTTTTGAGAGAAAAATCCTTAAGCCAAGATTTTAAGATCACCGTTGGGGATAAGCTTGAGTGTCAGACCTCCTTTGGAAAGTTTGAGTGAATACCAACATTGTAGGAGAAGTTTGAGAGAATCACCATTTCTTCCAAGGGATGACGCCTAACACAAGAACCTTGGTGAATGCTGCATCAGGAGGATTCTTGAAAACGAAAACTCCTGAGGAGGCATTGAAGTTGCTGGAATCTCTAGCTTCCCAAGAATTTGATAATGCTCTAGTACCACAGAGGAGAGCAGGTGTTATGAAGCTAGAAGGTTATGATGTGTTGTTGGCACAAAATGAGTAGATATTGCAAATGAACAAGAAGCAACAACAACAGTTGGATGCCCTCACAAAGCAGTTCACAAACTTCCAAGTCTCTTCTGTTAATACTCCTCCAGTTAGGTGTGAAATTTGTGCAAGTGCTCATGCTACAGAAGAATGTGATTTGATGAGAGCACCTGAAATTGCTGAAGTAAACGAAATCTGGTATGATCAGAAGAACCATAATGATCCGGGGAGGAACCAGTTTGGAAATAACTACAATCAAGGGTGGAAGAATCAGAATAAGCATCCAGGATTCAGTTACAAATCCAACCATCAGCTTAACCCTCCCCTTCCAGTGCAACCACATCCCCCACAACAAAGTAATACTTCTGAGTGGGAGAAAGTTTTTGCACAGCTATCCAAGATCACTTCTGATTACATACAACGTGCAAATGCTTTCAGAAAGGATACATTTTCCTTCATGCAAGAGACTAGATCAGCACTCCGAAATCAAGAAGCTTCCATAAGAAATCTGAAAACTCATATTGGTCGGTTGTCAAGGCAATTTGCTGAGAGAGCTAAGGGTACTTTCCCGGGAGACACTGTCATTAATCCTAGAGAGCACTACAATGCAACTACCACAAGAAATGGGACAATGATTCAGCCTATAAAGAAGCAACCTGAAGAAAAGAAGAGAGAGGTGGAGGCATCGATTGAAGAAGAGAATAAAAAAAGGCAAATGATACTATTGAAGTTGACAAGAGCAATCCTGAAAAATTTGAAAGGAAATTATTTAAATGGGAGAAGAAGAAAGCTTTAGAAAGGCAAGACAAGCCTTTAGATCTCTCCCCATGTGCTCGAATCCCTTATCCTTAGAGATTAAAGAAAGAGATTCAAAAGCAGCAGTATTCAAAGTTTCTAGACATATTCAGGAGTTGCAGATCAACATTCCTTTTGCTGAAGCTTTAGAGAACATGCCCAACTATGCAAGGTTCATGAAGGATCAATTATCAAGGAAGCGTAAGTTGCGGGAATGTGAGACGGTAAACCTAACAGAAGAATGTAATGCTATCATCCCAAAGAAGTTACCTACCAAAGTCAAGGATCCAGGGAGCTTCAACATTCCATGCACTATAGGCAAAGTGGAAGTGGACAACGTTTTATGTGATCTTGGAGCTAGCATCAATGTCATGCCACTCTCCATGATCAAGAAGTTGGGGATTACTGAAGTGAAGCCCACAAGGATGATAGTGCAACTGGCTGACCGCTCTTCAAAGCAAGCTTATGGCATTATTGAGGATATACTGGTAAAGGTAGAGAAATTCATCATCCCTGTTGATTTTGTCATCCTTGATATAGTGGAAGATGCCACAATTCAAATGATCTTCGGAAGACCCTTCTTAGCAACTTTAGGAGCACCGATTGATGTACTTAAAGGTAAGTTGATCTTACGGGTAGATGGAGAACAAGCAATATTCAAGTTCTTTGACAAAGAAGTTTCCCCACCTATAGCTCAACTGAAAGATCAAGTCTTCTATATTGGTGAAAGGAAAGGTGAAGAAGAGCACAATGATGAGTCTTCTCAAGAAAGCAAGCCAAAGGTTAAGATGGAGAAACCTGGTAGCAAAGGAAAGCATGTAAAAGTCAAGTTCAAAATTCTTGAGACTACTTTACCTCTCCTATAAGCAGAAGAGCACTATGGGAGGAGACCATTTCTAAATGATAGAGCTTGGTCATAACCAAGCTCATGCTTTGAGCCACCGTGATCACAAGTTAAGTATGTCAGGCTCGTGACGTTAAATAAAGCGCTAATTGGGAGGAGATCCAATACTTTACTATTTTTAATTTTTCTATTTTAGTTATTTCAATTTTAGTTAAATAAAGAAAAATACAAAAAGATTAGAGGATGAGATAATGATTTGATCAAGTGCAGGTTGAATTCTGAAGCTATTAATATGACAAAGAGTGCAGGAGAGCGACTAGTTTGTTTTCCTTATTTCTCGCTGCGATTTTCTTTTTAGATTTAAATCAGTTGTTGGGGACAACAACATTCAAATCTGTGAATGAGGAACGTGCAATTCATCAGAAACTACTTGACTAGGCCGGAAGGACTTCATGAATTCACACAAGATATCTGGCTAGGACAGGGAAATATCTCAACCCTCCTTCTTTAGCATAAATTCTTTTGAATTTGATTTTTTTAGTTAGTTAGAGTTTTGAAAACCCCCAATCTATTGTTTTTGTGAAAATTTTAAAATTTTCTTACTTAGTGAAAATTAATGGATGATTGGCAGGGAATTTGATCAGTGATTTGATTAAGAGTATATTGATGCACTTCATAATTTTTTTAATAATATGCGTTGATTTTAAGTAATTTCTATGATTCATCTTATCTTTGGAAAAGTAATGAGACTGATTTGGATAAAGATTAGGAAGTTAACTGTGCACCCATAGCCGTGAGGTTTTGAGCCTATACAGAAAATTTTTATTCAGTGTGCACTTCATTGTATGAGATACTCTAGAACTTGTTTTGTTTCTTACTTGAGATGGTCCATGATTTATATATTTGAGATGATAGAGGCATGTTCTTTTTGTTAACTAGATGGCCAAATAGCCAACCCTTATGTATGTTATACCTTTGTTTGAGCCCCTTTGAGCCTAGGCCTATTTATTCTTTGAAAACCTATATGTGAATAGCCACTTCCCATACACATCCTTGCCTTAATTTAGATTGAATTTCAGATTTGGATTGAGGAATGGATATTAATTGTTATATTTTAAGGGAAAATACAGGTGAAAAAGGGAAAAAGCCAAGGACAGTGAGTTGGTTACAAAGAAAAAGAAAAAGGAAAGAAGTGGGAATACTTGAGAAGGGAAAAGAAAATCAAATGTGAAAGAAAAATTGAAAAAGAAAGAGAAATCCTTCAATGAAAAAGAAAAATGTCTTGAGAAAGAGAAAAAGGAAATAGTGAAAAGTGTAAAGGAGTAAGAGTGGAAGAAGAATAATAATTGTTTGCAATTTTTTCAATCAATTTTATTTTTTCCTCTTCAAATCTGATCTTTAATCTTAGAGCCACTTCCCTAAATATTTTTCTTCCTTTTAGCTAGGCCAAATAACAACCATAATAAAGACCTCTTGATCTGCTTTATAAGTCATTAAGACTGTGGAGAGCGAGAATTTGAGCAAGTTTATGGTAGTATTGATTCAATGAAGGATGAGTGAAATATAAACCCTTAAACACTCGAGTGTGAGTGAATTGAAAATCCTAGTGAGCGGTGTTTTAGCTTAATATTTCTATTCTTTGTCTGATGAAGTCTTATTACAATTATATGATTGGTGGATTGTGAATCTTGCTTGAATTGATGTATCATTTTATTTCAAGACCAAGTCTGAGTACTCTTTGATCTTGTTGTTACTTGATTTTTTTCCCGTTGAAAATTCATTCAATTGAAGTTTCCTACTTCCTATTCCCTTAGTTTTATTCTAGTTTATTGTTGAGGACAACAATGTGCAAATCTGGGAATTGTTGATGAGTCTGCAATTTATTACGTATTAAGCGTTAATATGAGTATGAAATTGATTTAAAAGTAATTAAAAGCTATGAGAATTAAGTGTTATTTTATTATCAAAATATTCTAATATAAATTCTTATATTTTGCAGTAATTTCCAGCTCTATAAAAAGATATATTGGAGAGCTCAAGTGGATTTGTTTTTCTAAATCATATAATTGATTGAAGATCTTATTGAAGATTCTCTTGAATATTTTTAAGGAAATTGTTTCCTTTAAATATAAAAGAGAAGATTTTAAAGTTTTGATTAAAGATATGATTGGAGATTATAGTAAAGATTCCATTGAAGATATTATAAGAAATTAAAAGATATGACTTAAGATTTAATGCAAGATCACACAAGAAAATAAAAAGAAATGGTTTCTTCTATAAAAAGAGGGCTGGCATAATCAAGAGAAGGAGTTTTTGGAATCAAGGAGAGAGCGTTTTGAAGAATAAAGAGGAGGAATCCTGTTGCAGAGCATTGGAGCACTGAAGCGTCAAGACAACATCACATCAATGGAGTCATGGGGAGTTATTTTCTTTCCAATTGTTTTTGAATTCAATGTGCTAGGCTAAGTTTTTATGTAGTTAGGGGTAGATGGAACCCAATTGAATCTTTGTTCTATGAATTAAATTGTCTCTGAATTCTTCTCTTTCTATATTTGAATGAATTTATCTTTTTTTAATGCTTTCTATGAGTTTGCTTGTAAGAACCTGCACCGTTAATTAAGGAAGTTAATTAATTAATTGTGAAAAATTAGGAAACAATTCCATAATTGACCCCAATAATTATGATGAGGCTTAAATAATATTGGTAAGTAATTAATAATGTTGAAAGTCTCTTTTCTGACGAAAAGTGCAGATACCGGTTCTGCTACTCGATATAAATGCGTACCAATGAAGTATCCTGAAAAATTATGAAAAGTGTGTATATGTCACGAGAATAATATATAGGACTTGTAAAACAAGTTTCAAGTTAAAATAAAGAGAATTGGTGCCAGAACTGATACTGGCTATGGAAAAGCGCGTACCGAAAAGGTGCTGCAAAAAATAAAATAAAAATATGATAAATCTTAGAAAAATGAGTAGGTTCGGAATCCTAAGTTTGAGATTAAAATGATAAGCATAGCTATTAGTGCTAATACACTGCGTTTAAATTTTAAGTTGCCTATATAAGGCCTTGACACATGATCCTAGGGTAAACCCTTGTGCCTTATGCGTGAGTTTTCTGACCCTTGATCAGCTGAGCTTCTTCTTCACCATTATTAACCTCTTCCTCCATAGAAACCTCCAAGAGACCATTTTTCTTGGTTGTTTCTTCACCTAGACACCTTGGGTGAGTGAGAACTATCATTGGGAGTGTGAGGTGAGCTCCATTTCTGAGTTTGAGGTGTTGTTTCTTGTGCTTGGGGTGCTGACTTCTTGGTGTGGGTTGAGGGAGCCATTGTCATGGCATTTTGTGCTTCAAGGTGTGACCTTTGAAGAGAAAAGACCCTCCTTGGTGTGCCATTTTCGTGCACCTTGTGAAGTCAGACTTGAGGAGCTGTTGGTGAGCTCCAAGAGCACCATTTCCTTGTTGTCTTAAGCTTTGGGTAAGTGGTTGAACATTTCATCTTGAGTTTTAATGGGTAAAAGTGAAGTCTTGGTATGTTTAATGAGTTAAACAAGTAACCAACCAGTATATGAACCTAAATGGGCTTAAAGATGCATGTTTTAACGTTTAGAAGTGTTAAAAATGAAACCTTGGAAGTGATATCTCGCGAAATGCAAAAACTGCAATCTGTCGCGAAATATCCGGATATAGCCCCGACAAATATCTGGATATTCTGGGTTTTCGAAGAACAGTAACTGCATTGTTCATACAGAATGTTGTTATGGGTTTGTGGACCCTAGTTTGATGAAGTGGGACTTCTGTAATAATTGAACTAAGTCAGAATCAATGATTAAGGGCTTATGGCTTTGTGAGAAGCCTAAAGACATGAAACATAAAGGAAAGGCATTGTCTTTATGTCATATGCTTTTATGTTTGAATATTGATATGATTGCTGGTCCAAAACAGATTGTGATTATGTTGTGTGTGGACTTTGAGCTCGTTTGGACTCTTGGCATTGGATAGTTAGCTTGCAAGGTAAGCTTTCGTGTCCTCGGTTTAGAAATTGTTTGTTCCACCATATCCCATAGGGGGGATATTTATATGCATGATGTGTTTACATGCTTTGATAATTGAATATGTTGTTGAGCTTTATGTGCAAGTGCTTATAATATGTATGTGTTGTTCCACTTAGACGGTTAGCCTGAGTATGTTGACGTCATACAAGACGGTGACACTGCGGGTGGGTGCAAGTGGCGTCTTGAATTAGTGTGGGTAATAGACGTATTCCTGCATTTCTCTGGCCAGTAGATTAGTTATAACACACATGACATGATTATCTGCTGCATTGCACTATTTTGGAACTTATATTGTACATGTAAATGAGCTTGGGGTGGAAAATCCTTGAGGACCCCTTATCTTACTGAGATTTCTGTTCAGAGATCTCACCCCATGTTTGGGGCGCTTATTTCAGGTTCAGGTAACCTAGGGGTTGAGACCTCTAGCAGCAGGAGGCCGGAGCTTAGTTGATTGATGTTTATCTGCTTATGCTGACTATGCTTGGATGTTGGTTTATGCCTGTTGATATCATGCTTATAACTTCATTTGATGTTATTGTTGAGACTCTGTTGGTTATGTTGCTATTTGGTGAGCATGGGGATTGTCCATGCCACTTTGACTTGACTTTATGTTTTTAGTTATGAGTTGTATTAATGTATCAGGATATTGTCCGGATTACGTGTTGTAGATCCGTGACTTAGATACTCACTTATTTATCTATTGAGGTATTATAGTTAGCTGTCTTTTGCAATTTACATACAGGCGATGTTTTCATGAAATTGATTAAGTAATCAACTTGGCTAAGTTAATGACGTCATAATTGAAAAGAAAAAGATTTCCGCATATTTAATTAAGTGTGGCTTAATACGATGACATGTTAACAAACCGGGTATACACGGGGTGTTACATTGCTCCTTATAGATTGATTTAGGGAATTCTATGACAATAGGGATGTTGGTGCATGAACTCTGATTTGATAAATT